ATATTAAGAGAATCTCCAATCGGAATATGCAATTAATGCTGAATTTATATATTCAAGTGTTGTATGTAATATTTGTCTTTCAGCAAAATTTAATGTGTCATTTATGACGCCAAGCCACTGATAATTACCCGCAATCATCGAGAAATTTCACTTTCATTAGACAAAAACAAAAGCGAAAAGTACACACTGATTATTGAGGGCAATAGCCCAACTCGTACAGCCCACCTACAAACATACCAGCTTTTCATTTCATTCCGATTGCCCTCTACACTATTGACCCCAAAATTTTGTGTAAATATTTATTAATATTCATAATAACAGACAATAATGAAGCGAACAAAAGTTGACATACAATTGTAGTTAATATGTAGGTACACACATAAATACGTGAAAATTTTAAGATAAAACCACACAGGGGCAACAATTTTTAACTTGCCAAAATCATACTAATTTTATACTACTTGTTTGGTAACTAGACCTAAACTAGATCAAAATAGGTCTATTAAAATTGCTGTTTTGAAAGCTAAAATCAATGTATTTTACTTATAATAAAAATTATATTTTAGTACAAAATGGATTGATAAGTAAAGTTGATATTTTTTAATAGAAAATTAACCAGAAAAGTGGAAAAAAAAGTTATAATTTATGTGAAAGCTTCGGTACTTCATTACAACTACTTCTCATTTAGCTATAAATGAATTACTTGGCAAGCAGTCTGCATTCACTTTGAAATTGCATAACAGATAACTAATTTCGTCTGATTCCAGCTACCATCGCATTTTGAGTTTTGAGCCAGTGTTAATTAGTTTTATGCCATCTTTTGAACTAAACCCAAATCACAGTAGTTTAGCAGAGTAATTATGCCAGCTTACCGCTTACTAATCGCAAAAGCATCAAATTAGTTTTCGGTAAAAAAAATATATGACTAAAATATCTATTTATTTTGGCAAATACTACGCCGCCACTGATCCAAAACCAGTCCAAAATATATTTCTTTAGCAACTAGTATTTTCAAATGAATATAAATTTCTTTTACTTTCGATAAAAATTCATATAAAGATTATAAACGACATTTATCGACTAGTTCGAAACTAGTTCCAAAGTATCCAATTGTTAACTAGTTCATTTTTGGAAATTATTGGTAAAATAGTATTTTTGCCTCAAAGTTACCACTCAACTTTACCACTGGTTTATTGCATCGAGCTCATAAATCATCACTCACATGCACATGCACTTACATACATACATATTATATACAACAAACATACATATGTATAATCGCCTTATTAATTCATGCTTTAAACCCTATATTAGCCTATTGAAATGCTCCTACCAAATAATATACATACTTACATACACATCTGCGTACACGTATGTACCTAAATTATGTACTTGCACTTGGTTATTTACTAAATTATACGAATGTTTGCTTGTATGTTACAAACTTAAGCCGATATACAAATTGTGTTACAAAACTTATATTTATTCCAACATTTGTATGTATGTGTAAGTTTATGTGTTTTTCATGTCGCATGTGCCACTAATTCATATGTATGCACATACATACATACATACATACATACATATGTTTGGGCAAATGACCTTAGACCAATTAAAAGCAATTAACGAATACCGATAGCTGCCGATAGTTGATGGTTGTAGTCAATACAACTACAACAATACTAATAATTAACAAATTACAAAGACCACTAAATATACATATATACATACATATGTACATACGCACATGCTGGTCAACTAGCCAACCACAAAATTGTCGAAAATATGTGTGGCGCAAGTGATTAATTATGCGAATATGCAGTATTTAAACCACAATTAATTAAAAAAAAATAATAATAAATTTTTTAAAAATTGAATATGATTCAAAATAAATACTCTAATAGCAAAATATTCGAAAACTTTGATTTTTTGTTGAAATTTTAATTACACATTTCAAAAATTTCAAAATAATTTTTTTCAAATTTTATGAATATATTTTTTGAAAATTTACAACTAATAATTTCAGTTCTTAAAATTTTTTTTTTATTTTTTAATATTGAGAATATTTTAAGGTCACTTTTTGAGAATTAAAACAAATGCGCTTTCAAAAAAAAAACCTCTAAAAAAAGGTATGCTAATATTTTTTGTTTTGATTTTAGAAAAAAAAATTTTTTTTTTTAATAAAAATTATTAGGAAAAAAAAAATCTAATTACTTTTAAAATTCTTCTGATTAATTAAGAATTATGCCGCATCATCGATTTCATAAATAAATTGCTTACGCACTTTTGGTATGCCAATATTACCGTGACAACACTAATTAAGACCAAGAGGGATTAAACTCGTATTTTGATAGCATCAACTAAATGTATCCGTAGCAACGCTTATGCGACTACTCAAGAGCATCTTACGCCAACACTAGTACGCTCTCCCTTTCTACCTTCATATCACCATCTCACTCTGCACGATAAGCGGCGCTAAAAGAATTAATCCACATAACAAGCTTGCGCGAAATCCTCATTGTAAGCAGTTTGTGTGTAATGCCCGTGACGTGGCGCTGAGGCGCGCTAAGAGCGTAAGAGAGGTAGTTGCGTGCGAAAGCGCCATCTAGCGACTTCATTAATTGCATTGAGTTGCTATGAATAACCATATGCCGCTAATAAGCTCATTACAGTTTTCAACGAATGATGAGCTCTTGTTGTATATACTATAAAGGAGAGATTTTCAATATTTTTTAGTTGAAGAGAGGGAAATTCGAGTAATGAATACTATTGAGTTCAATAGCGTGCTGTTGTTACACTTGGGCGCTTTGAGACGAAAATTGTGCCTTAAAGTGTAAGACAACTGCTTCTGGCATTGCAGCCTGTTTTTTTCATACATTTTATTTTTTACAAAAAATAAATAATTTTTTTCGAAAAGTAAAAATTTTTCATGCATATATATATATTTTTTTTTTTCTTAAATAAAATAATTAAATAAATCCGGTTGGTGCGGGCTTTTAACCGGCGATGAAATAAAGGTTTTTTTGCACTGCAACCTACTTCAGAAATCGGAAATATAATTTTCACCTGACTATTTCACCCACTTTTCATATACGTTTTGGAATTCTCAACAGGTTTATGTATTAATTGATATAAATGGAGGACGCCAATTTATGCAAAATAATTGTCTAATATCTAATAATAATAGATATAATAAAGTAAACAGTTTCCCTCGTTTATTTAATGTTTTCTTGCTATTCTCAAACGATTTATGAAATCGGGAATAAAGTTTGCCCTTTCGCTAACAACTTTTCCCAATAAATCACGATGCTTCCTTCAATTGTTTGATCTCATATCCGAAACTCACACTCACTCAACAATGCCTTAAATATGCGCCACATAACAATCAAAGTCGAAGAGTGTATTAGAAAAGCTAAAAAAATCAAATCATAAGAATGCCACAGAAAGGCAAACGGAATCAAATGTGCCAAGTTAACTTCCGCAATTCAAGCGTTTTAATTATCAGCTCTTAGCCACTAAGCTAATAGCAGCGTCGTCGACCATAAATCGACGGTGGAAACGGCTGGGAAGTCACAGTAAAAGCTGTGGGCGTGTGGGTATAGTAAGAGCTTTGGGGAGTAGGAAAAATGCCAGCAATTGACTTAATTGCAGGACTGAGACGCCCAGCGAGCAGAAACAATAATGAAAAATAGAGGCAGCAGGTACCACATATCGAGGCAAATGCCACCAAAAGCTGAAGCATGTATACCTACTTATTAGCTGGATAAACGACTTACTTGGCGTAGGGCGTTGTAGGAAATCAATTCTCAGCTGATGGGTGGGTGGTTGTAGGATGGTTGTTGAGGTTTCGGTTTACTTTTCTACTCACGATTCTGTTTGTCGGGCTACTACGTGGCAGCCTTGGAGGTGCAGTGATGCATGTGACAGTTGTAGTGGTGAAAAAAAAAAAACAAAAAAAAAATGACAATCAAAGACTTCATAGTGTGACTTTGCTTTCTATTAGTATAAAAGAAATTGGAGAAAGAAACGATTGTGCATACAAGTATTTTTTTCTGCTAGACAAAGCGTGTATCGTTATAAGTTTTTAATATTAATTTTTATATTGGTTTCTGTTTGTATATTTCCTAAATATTTTTTTTACATTTTGTAAAGATTTTATTTTTAGTTTAAATCAATTTTTTTTTTTTAATTTTAATATTTCTTTCCCTTTGTCGTTTTCCTATTACAATAATTACAATTTCCTGTCCATTTTATTATGATTTCAAGCATTTATAATTTTTCGCTTGTTTTTTGCTCAATTCATTGCAAATTGTTATAGCGAATTCTGCATTAGTTTGATTATGCATTATTTATTAGGCGTGATTAGGATTTTATATTTTAATTATTTTGCACTTAGATTTTTATCTGTGTGATTTAATGCATTTTATTTGAGTTAAAGCTTTTTCGCTTTTTGTTTTCAATATTCGCCTTGTTACACTTGCTTTGACATTTATAGATTTTTCTTGTTGTTTTATAAAATTTATTTTTAATGTATTTTTTAATTAAATTACAAGTGAAAAACACGTGGTTTAAGTAGAGCAGAGCGTAGGTTATTATTGAATTCCGTAAGAATTATCGAATAACATTCATATTTACATTATCGTCATTACTTAAAAAATCACTTGATATGACATCACATCATGTGACATAATGTACAGCTCATCACGTAATATCACCTGCCTCTACGAATATTTTACCGCGAAGCAAGATGTGCACTGACATGGAGTCGCTTTTTTTTTTGTTTTTTGATCCACATCACTCCATCACATCTAACATAAATCACATGATTTAATATCCTCCATCGCATGTAACATCAATCACATGATTTAATATCCTCCATCGCATATAACATCAATCACATGATTTAATATCACGTCACATGACATTATTTAATGAATTGTATGTAAATGGCTTTTGCATTATGTTTAATGAAAAAATTTATATCCTATTTATATTTTCAGATTTTCTATCAACACTTATTAAGTCATACCGATAAAAAAAGGAAAATTTGACGGTAAGTTGAAGCTGAATCATACTAAAACTAGAATTTTAAACTAACAATAAAACTATTTTCTAAAAGTATGTGATATTATAAAATAATTGGAAAATTAAACTTTTAAAGGTTTTAAATGCATAGGTTCTTCCTTAAATTATATTTTATTTCATTCAATTACAAAAAAGGAGAAACAGAAGATTTAAAATTTTTTTTAAATATAAAATAAGAAAACAAATTTTTTTTTTAGGAAAACAATTATATTATTTATTCATATTTGTCATAATATACCCCAGCGTGTACTAGAAGCAAAAAAAAAAAAAAAATATATATTTTACCTTCAAAGGTGATTAAATATCTTGCGCAATGCTGAAATGTGTAACACGGACTTATCTCCGCCTAACCGAAAGTGTACAGATAAGAGCTGAAAATAAACAACTGAATGAGTTGTTGTTACGCTGAATAGATAGAGACTGCTGAACACATTTAAATATGCGCAATTTTTTCTATCTTATAAGCATTTATATTTATTTGCGGAATTTATTTTAGGTTTGATGGACTTTTCCTCATTAAGAAAAAATTCAGACGTCATTTAAATAAAACAAAAAAAAATTTAAATATAAAAAATTCAATGTTTTCATTTAATTTATTTTAATAGATATTTTTTTAAGATTTCCAATTTATTTTATTTCCTTTATTTTATAGAAATTAATTGTTTTTATTTCAATTTCTTTTAATCCATTTTTTTCTTTAATCTTTTTATTTTATTTTAATAAATTAAAGTGTTCGGATATAATTTTTTATTTCATTTAATTTTCATTTTGATTCATAAACATTTTTATGTCTTTTTTATTATTTTATTTTTTGTGGTTTTTATTTTATTTTAATATTTTTTTATTCAATTTTGCTTAAGTTTATTTTATTATTTATTTATATTTAGTTTATTCTGTTAATTTAATTTATTTTAATTCAATTTTATTTGGAATTTAATTTTTTTTACCACTCTTGATGCATGTATCATTCTATATCCATGTGGCATGCCACAATCAGTTGCATAAAAAAAATTGCGCCAAGTGATCTCATTTTCACAACTTTTCCTCAACATTTTTCACTTTTAAAGTCGAGTGTGGGGAAATATAAAGTGTTTAAGCAGACGCTGACACCCACACACAAATACGTCGTTGTGTGCGTGCAAAAAAGTGAAAATTGCATTAATTTATTTTATTGCACAGCATCAAACTAAAGTAGCTGGTTTAAGTAGAAAAAAATATCTCTACTTAAAAAAAAAAGATATTGAAAAAATTATTACCATGGGCGATCACACAGACACGTGTGTGTATGTATGCGTTTGTTTGCAGCATAATTTCACCAGCTAACTAACTGCATGCGCTCATTTTGATTGAAATTTTTTCCTCACGTTTTTTTTCTGAATGCGAATCTCCTATACAATGCAAGTGTGCAAGTAAAAAAGTGTTAAAATGAAAAGTAAAAAAATTATAAGCAAATACAGCCAACCACGCAAGGTGTTGACGCAAACATACTTTTTCCGCTGTGAGCTATAGCAGTATTAATATTAATGAGTATTTGGAAAAATACATACATACATATATATTTTTTTTCAATCTATTTTTTGTCTGACACTGCCTTTTTATATACAAACAGATATATATTTTATATTTCAGCTATTTATTTATTTATAAATATTATATATTTTATCGCAATCAACAAAACATGGCACTCAATCTGCGCTCAATCGCACCGCAGCAGCAGCTTGTTAGTCGAGAGCTAATCAATTAGGCAGGCAGTCATGCGTGTTCAAGCCGACACATGCAATGCATTAACAATTGAATGAAAATATGTTTTTCCATAGAAAGTATCAAGCTTGTTTTCCTTTCAATAATGAAAGGAGAAAAAAATTTAATTTAAAAAAGTTATAATTACATTGAAAATTTTTAAAATAATTTTTTTTTGGACTCTATTGCCATTCAGCGTATTTGTTTCTACCTATTATTAAAACTTGTAACTTTTTAAAAAGAAATACATTTAATTTTTCGTAATTCAGCTTACTCAAATGCAATTCAGCACTAGTTTTTTACAAAAAGTTCTCTAAATTCAGCTGCTTTTAGACCTGAAAAAGGCATAATCATCTAATGCAAACGTTATTCAGCGGCTATTTTCTGGTTTGAATTTACTGCAATTCTGTTTGTGATTAACCATTAATTCAAGTACTATAACACTAATTCAGCAACATTTTTTGGTATATTTAATTTCTCAATAACGAATTTGACGAATTGGTTTTATGAAATTTATTTTCAACTAATCGCCTTTAATGGCTTTTAACACTTTCTGGCATTCAGCGCCCCCAATTGTAATTTAGTGTGATTTTTGTTCTTTAAGTTAGTTAGTTGTTCTTTAAGTTAGTAATTTTAATTAATTCTTTGCTTTTGGTTGCAAAGTACTTTCGATCTTATATATGTTTGTTAAGTTCAGCGCATGTTTTTCTCCTCACACTAGTAATCAAACCTTCATTTGCTTCTTCGTGCCTATTTTTTCATAATTCGTTACTTTTTCATTCAATTCAGCGCATGATTTTTTACTGTTATTCTTAAAGTAAGCATATTTGCTGTTAAAAGTTAACTGTTATCGATTTCATTCCATTTTGAGCAGTTCAGCGCAAGTTTTCTTTGCGTACAATCACAAATCGTAAACCTAATTTCCTTTCTGAGTAATATTTAATTGACCTAATACTTTTCCGTGCAATTCAGCGCATATTTTTCCTCATACTAATCTTTAATCATTCATTAATTTTGTTTTAAGCACACAATTTTTGCGATCTGACATTTTTCTGTGCAATTCAGCACAAGTGTTCTTCATGTGCAATCTCAAATCTTACATTTATTTTCTGTAAGATTTTCCATTTACTACATTGATACTTTTTCATAAAGTGCAGCGCTTATTTTCCTTCATTAATCGTTCGTTTATTTTCTTTTAGGATCAAAATTTATCGATCTGATAGTGTTCTGTGCAATTCAGCGCAAGTTTTCTTCACATACAATCTTCAATCCTATATTCGGTTGCTTTTAGAAGAAAAATTATGGACATAATACTTTTAATTCCAATTCAGCGCATGTTTTTCTACCTAACAATCTTAAATCAAGCCTTTCTTTGCTTTTGTGCGTAAAATTTTATTGATTTGATGATTTCTTGTGTGATTCAGCGCATTTTTAAACTTGAAATTACTTTTATGCAATAAAAAGTGCAACGTTTGCACTTAGCGAATATTTTTTAAGTTTTAACAACAAAAGTTACTTAAAATTTTATATTATTACTTATTACGCTTTTATTTTCTTTATTACTCTTGCTTTTTGACACACCTTCCTCATCTCATCTCATGTCAAATTTGTATGTACGCGTGATATATTCATCACATCGCCACCGCTAATTAATAAATTCTGTATATAAATTACCTCTGCCCAGATATGCATCAGCGTAACTGTAAAAATCACAATGGGACAAATGGAAGACGTAAAAATAGCGGACCCCAGAATGAAACATAAATTCAAAACTCAACGTGGCAGCACTAATTTGTGTCATAATACACAAAAGTGACATGTTGAGTGTCAAAGCCAAGCGAAAAATGCACATTTACTTAAGTAAATACAATAAAACTGTAAAAGAAGAGCTTAAGTGCATAAGTATGTAAGTCTGTAAGTACTCAAGTAAAACCTTAAGTGCTTAAGTTTGTATGGAAGTGAGTGAGTTTGTGTGCGTATTTAAGATCGCACAATATAAAGCCGCCATTCAGCGCAACCATGCGGCGTGCAACTGTTTACCGTTATATTTGTAAGTATGTTAATACTATATATGCAACATTACCTTCAACAAATAACGCTTGAGCTGCACATTTTCCGCTGCCATTATGCGAGATTGTATTAAAATATTTTTTATTTATTCTTGGTTTCTTTAACATTTTTATTTAAATTTTTTTCATAATTTTTTTTTATAAATTTTTTTCAAGCCATTCCCTCACTAAGAAGACCCAGCCTACGGGTTTTGCTTTTAACTACATCAAGCCAAAATACAAAAAAAAAAATCAGTTTCATCTTCAGGCTTTTAATTTTATTACCATTGTTGCTATATTAACATCTTTACTCGTTGTTGTTGTTGCTGTTGTTGTTGTTGTTGTTGCTGTTGCTGTTCATTAATGACAATATGCATGTTATGCATGAGTATAAAGCAATTTGTATAAGTGTTCTCATATGCTCACCAATACAAATGTACACTTGTGTGTGTGTGTGTGTGCCGCATCACTTTCATCGCTTGTCTGCTACGGCGAAGGCAGCAACAGCAACAACAGCAACAACAAACAATGCGTAATTACAATGCCGACGCTGCGCAAATCACAGTAGCGTGAAGAATTTTTTAATTATTACAAAGTGAGCCCAGCGCAGAAGCCGCAGCGCGCAACACCTGCCACCTGCCACCAGCCGCCCGCCGCCGTATTGCCTTGGCTTGCCGCTACGCTGACTTGGCTGGCTTGACTGCCGGCTGTTGCTTGTCTTGTAATTCCATTTTAACTTGTTGTTATTGTACATGTGTTTTGTTGTTGTTGTTGCTCTGATTTTCTTTTCACATTTTTCACTGTATATTCTTTTTTATACCTAATAACCGCCGCACCGAATCTGCTTCTTCCCCTTCTTCTTCTTCTTCTTTTTCTTCTTCTGCATGCTACAGTACTTGAAGCAATATTGTTTCTGTGTTTTTGTTGCATTACGAATTGTGTTGCAGCAAGTGAAGGCTTTTTCGCTGGAATTTTACTTTCCGCCACGGAATGGTTGTAAGCGAGAGCACAGTGGTGCTGGGTAAATGTTTAAGGGCATAAATTTTGTTAAATTTTTCAATGCTATTCAGCGGCCTTTCTTTGTGAAAAAACTAAAAGCAATGTATAAGCAAAAATTTGTAATACTTTTCTTGCTATTCAGCTAAATTTTGCAGCCATTCAGCTAATTCAGCACAAATATTTGGAAACAAAAACTTACTTTTTTTTTTGCTACAAAAACTTACTTACTTATTGAATTTCAAATTTCCTTGTTCAGCTAATTCAGCGCAACACTTCCTTGTGAGATATCAATACTTCGCTCAAATTTGGAGCGTTTTCCAGCTAATTTTGACTAATTCAACGAAGTTCTTTGCAAAAAAGTATAATTTATTTAAAACAAAAATGTGTCGGTTCAAATAGCCCGAGTTCTCATTATTCCAATTATTCAGCGCGCGCTGAATCAATTTATTTCTACATCAAACAACATTTTGTGCCAATATATAGTACATAGCACCACTGTGGCTGCGTTTACACTCACTTTTGAAGATAAAAGATTTGAAAACATATTGAGAAAGTAGCGCAATGCTTTGTGGTCATAGTCGATGACACAAGACAACAACAATGAAGATAAAAGTATCTTAAAAAGTAACGCTTTCTGCTTTAAGAAAAAAAAAATACGTCTTCGCCCACAATCTTGTACTATTTATTCAGCTTACTTACGTATCAATCTGTCACTATGCGCTGATGAAAAAGAGTTGTATGCCGTCATACTTCATTAATTTACAAAGACACAAAAGAAATAACACTTCGCAACTCATTACAAATTAAGAATGCGTGATTGAAAGACACACGAGTAAGAGTAAAGAGGTATGTCGCGGTGATGTGTAAAATTAATCCGCCACTCTAGCGAATGCGATTTGCTTTGATGGCAAAAAGGGAGATACTTTTGCTTTGATTTGAAAGTGAATTTGCTGAATAGTTAAGAATTTTCCTACTAATTTTATAGTTTTTCTAAGGAGATTAGAAAGTGGTGTATAATGAGTTTGATTACAAGAATTTTATAAAGCTTGTTCAATTCAGCTACTTTAAATGCAATTTAGCGCTGGTATTTAGCGTGAAAAATGTACTGTGCGGAATTCTTTAGTGTAATATAAAAGCGAAAATGATTTTTTCTTGTGCTGAAATCAATTCAGCGCTTATATTTGTATGAGAAACCTAGAAATTTTATATTCTTCATAGTTTACAGAGACTGAAGCACATCCAGCACTTGAAATCACGATTCAGCACCTGCTAAAGAGCGCCGCTACGACCTAAGTGCGACATTTTAGTGCTCCCATATTCCACAAAAGCAATTAAAAGTAAAGTTAATTAAGTGTGCTTTAAATAAGCTGTACCCGATAATTAGTATTATTATTCAGCAAAGACAATAATGATTCAGCGCACTTCTCGTTTAACTGAACTGCAAATGCATTATTACCATGCAGCTTTAAACAATCTTCAACGCGCGAAACAACAATTCAGCGCAACTTTTCTGACAGCAGGCGCAAAAAAACAATACGAAAAAGCAATTTTGAATTACCTAATGTCCCTTCACCGCCTTGATATTCTATTCAGCGCACATTTAGTGTTTTCGTTTAACACTTTTTGAAAAAAATTATTTATCTAATGCCACTAATTTAACAGCAAAATGTTTCCCAACAGTTGCTTTTTAGCAATTACTTTCATATTCCTGAGTAAGAATTAGCAGATACAAAAAACACTCATCTAACCGTTAACAAACCATTTGTTTTCCCAGGTTACGTTCTATTTCATTTCCCTTTTTCTTCTATTTTTTCTTGCCACAACCAATTACAAAGCATTGACAAAACTAATGGCAGCAAACGAGAGACAAAAATGTGGCAACAGAGCAACAAAAAGGTGGAAAAACAATAGTAATACCACAAAAATGCCAAGCAATAAAAGCTGGAAAACAGAAAAATAAACTTGCAACATGAGGCATCAACCAGCAGCAGCACATTGCAGCATAGTATTTTGATTGGCATTTTTTTTTTTCGGTGATATGAAATCAATATAAGCAGAAAACAAACCAGGTAAATGCCACAAAACACAATAAAGAAAACGGAAAAAGGAAAAAGGCACACAACACCGACAAGAGACCACGAAATGAAAAGAGCAAAAAGGTAGAGGCAAAAAATAAAAATAAAGAAAAATAAATGAACGTATAATGAGCAGCTAACCATAGAATGCAACTGAGCAGCTACTATTTTGTTTTTGCCACAACAAATGCAAACCAGTTCGACAACAAAACCAACATAATAGTCAATATTGCGCACGTGATCACTGAAGTTGGGTTTGTTTGTTTAAATTTTCTGTTTCTTCAAATATTACGGTACTGCACCCATAGGAGCAGCAGTAGTAATAATTTGTGGTAAGCCCATGCAGCACGAATATGAGCTTTAACGAGCTTTAGGCAAGCCTGCCAGTAACATTTTTCTTCACGAGTTCTTTTCTCTTCTTAAGTCTCGTTGTTAGCGTCACTACAATTTCTCGAACCAGTTCTATGCTGCTGCTCCGTAAAGCGCTAATTCTAAGGCTAGTAGCTGAGTGCCGCCGAGTAAACACTAAGGGGCACGCAAAGAGTGAGAGGAGCAGCTTAAAATGTAGTTTTTGTAAAAAGAGTCATAAGGCATAAGACTAGCTTTGGCATGCCCTGAGCGTCCGCTTCTTCGCTACGCTAATTGCTCAGCCTTAAGGGATTTTTATTTCCTTCCTTTACTCTGAATTTTACCTAACCCAATATCTTTGTTTTCACGCTACCAGTTGCTTATTGTTCCTTTGAAGCCAAGTATAGATTTTTGGGGTCTTCCCCTTACTTCTCTTGGACTCAATTGCTGCTGAATTTCACAAAGTCGCAGCTTCGATTTTTTCTTGCTCTAAACTCATTTACTCCGTTTCCTCACGCCAAGCGGCCGCGGAGTTGCTAGCCTGGCGTATAAACATCCGGTTTGGTAGTGTTCGAGCTCTAGTGCGGCCAGCAGTCAAAATTATAGAAAATCAATTTTTCCAACTGTGCTTGCTTCTCGGCAGGATATGCCGAGGCCTCCAAGTGTGTTTCTGACATGCAAATCAGAGCTCCGCAAAACAATTCAACTGCCGTTCGTAGGAGGCTTAGCCTAAACTGTAAGTCCTCATTTGTTGCAGCAACATCAACGACGCAGGGCACAAGCTGGAGTACTGGCTTGGACGAAACATTTTTCAGTAGTTATAAAGCGCAAATTATGCATGCAAAGCGTCGGTCACTTCGTTGTTCTCATTACTACTTTTGAACTCACTAAGCAGCTCTAGCACTGTCTCTGCTCTTCATTGCACTCAGTTTTTCTCGTTGAAAAATAATTTTTCTGCTTAAGACGCCACCTTGTTTTTCTTACATTTATTCCACTTCCGAACTTATATTTTTTGCATTTAACTATTCTTAAGCTCTTTGATTTGTTTCTATATTCCTGTTAATACCTCTAACTTACCAGCTCTGCTGCACTTCGCGCTCTTGTGAATCATTTGTACAATTTTTTTATTTAATTTTTTTTTGCGTTGCTAAAGATGTTACCGTTTTTATTTCATTTAGACTGAATGAACGAATTGACAGGGTTGCTTTTACTATTTCCTCTTCTTCTTATTTGTTCTTCATAATTTTTTCTACCTCAATCCCATTCACTACCTGCTCAAATAACTCATTTTCTGCAGCTAGCATTTGTACGAGTACTTTTCACTCAACACCTGACACGCTCTTGCTCTCTCTGTGCTGCTGTGCTACGCGCTGACAAAGACAGAGTTGCATTGAATCCATTGTTTGCAGGCATCGTACTGTCTCTGCGAAAAGTTTAGCAAAAAAAAAAAACAGATTTAGTATAAAATTAATCAGGTGCGCAGAAATATATTACAAACCTCCATCAATAAAGCGCGAGGCAGTCGCAATGACAGCAGTAGAGGCCGCATCAACTCTGCTCTGTTGTTGCGAACGCATAAGCCGATTGCCGTCGATTTGCGATTTTTGCAATTTTTTTCTTCCTTCTTTTCGGTAAAAATTCATACAATGCTGCAAAAGCTCTCTTATTATTTGTTGCACTAGTTCAAATAGTAAGAATGAAATGAAAATGGAATGGCAAAAAGGGAAGGACATGAAATATTTGCAAAATTTATTTTCCTCTTTTATTCAAAAACTGCTTTGCTGGAAAAAATTTGCCATGACAAAGTTTTAAATTGCAAGCAACAAAGAGAAATAACAATTTAACTTTAAGACGATTGTGAAATGAGAAAGAGAAAAGGAAAAAAAAATAAACAACAAAGGAAGTTAAGAATTAAAATGAATGATTACTTACCGTAAAATACTGACTTGCAAGGAGTGAGTGGTAGGCAAGTGTGCAAACTATGCAAAGTTCTTTCTTTTCTCTGCCGGCAGATGTCCAAGTAACTTTCTGCTGGCTTGAAGTAAAACTATTAAATGCGAATGACCTGTGAAGAGAATACGAATGAAGGAGATTAAAACAATTGAAGTTTAAGTAATAGAAAATGTCAATGCGTTGCGCTCGAGAGCTCTTTAAGATATTGAATACCATTTAAAGAGGCGGCTGAATAAAAAGTCGTAAGAGAAGGGCAACGAAAATGAATCAAACTCCTTTTTAAACTCTCTGCAAGCTTTCACTACTTTCACCGGCGAGTAGCTCAGGGGGAAGTTAAAAATTGATTGGATTGGTTTCGAAGAAGGGCACATCATTAAATACAAGTCCCCACTGCGTCGGATCTGAAAAATTCACATGAAATTTTCGCATGAAAAGCCTTGCCAAACTTACCTAATTGCTTTCGCTCTTCCTGATAGAGGCAACAGTTTCACTATATACAGTTATTGCTTGCTAACCCAGGCATAGTATTCCGCTGCCTCTAGGTTGTTGTTGTTGTTGTTGTTGTAACCGCAAAATTATACCCCAAAGTACTTTTTGGGGAATGTTGCGGGAGTGACAGTCCTTGGCCGGATAAAAATCCGGGTCGTTCCGGTATAAAGACCCGACTATCGCGGGAACTATTGGATTTTAGTCGCCTCTTACGACAGGCATGCCTTACCGCGGGTAAATTCTTGAGCCCCTAACCCGCAGGGGGGCCGCTGCCTCTAGGTCTTCTGCTCTTCTAAAATTCGTTCACAAAATTATTAAGTAATTTCGATTTTATTTAATTTGTTTTTTCATTTATTATTTTGCCTTTCTCTTGTGGTCCACGCTTAAATTTTAACGGTTAGTAAACTTTAAACAACACTTATCTTGTACAGCCCTTATCATGCCTCAGTACAAACGCCCATAAGCCCAGCGGCCTAAAACTAAGCCACCAAACCAATCCGTTCTCTATTGATGAACTCCGCATTTTGGCACCGCAATTTGCATAGTCCAACCGCGTTTCAAGTGCCCGCGCCGACCACCACAGCAACCAGAACTCAATTACTTCCTAAAACACCGCAGTGTGAGCAGTGTGAGCAGTAATGTGCGCTTGTCGCTCATTAACAAATTGCACCTATCACCACCAGTCACCAACCGCCAGCCACCGGCAGACGACAAACCCAGCGCACCAAGTATTGAGCTTGAGCCAGTCAGCGAACCACTCGCATATCGACACGCCACTTGTATAGCAACATTTGCGCCCTTTTTGATGGCAATCAAGCACTTAGCCGTAAATTTCTGCATACGTCGAGTCACTGTGGGCGGCGGGTGGCTCAGAAGTCTAGCGACGGAGCAACATCCATGCTGTAGTAGTGTGCTTTTGGTTTTGCGGTTTCATTACATTTGCGAAGCGCGTATATTTGTCGTCATTGGTAACGGCAGCAAACAGGATTGCTGGTTCGGCCGCACATATTTGTTGTGAAGTAAACAAATGTCGTACTGCAAGTTGTCCATCTTCCTCGCCAAGTGGACGGCCTTCACTGTTGGGCGCGCGTTGACAGTGTGTCGAGTCTACCGGCGCTATGAACTCTGAACACTGAACACTGAAGTGTTGTTGTAGTGCGGAAGTGTACAGGAGCGGCGGACGTGGAGTGCAATGAAAAATGACAGCAGTCATGTCAACAACAACAAAACGATCTACATGTCGACATGGCGTAGAAGAAAAACAAAAGAAGAAGAAGAACACATTCAGCCAGTGCCGTTACTCAACGGCTGAGCGGCTGAGTGACTGAGTGTCTGGCGTTGGTGAAGCGAAAGTGTTCGGAAATCAATTTATTACTATTTATTGCCACGATTTTTTTTTTCCTCCTTTCCATTCGAGAGGCTTTCATCTTGTCTTTGTTTGCCATTACAAGTCGTTCTTTCATCTTTTTTGGAATTTTTTTGTACAGTTCGATTTTTAAATTAACCTCAATCTGTGACAACAAACGATAACTTTGAGTTATTTATGGAGTTGCCCACTCTCTGGCGGCTCCGGCGAAGAATAAGAAAATAAAAATAAAATAAAATATTACTGGAAATCGCCACTTACACATTTGAAGAGCGTCAACAACCAAGGGAAAAGTGTCAAAGCTTAAAAATTCGCAATTTCGACTTCCTGCTGCGCCGCCATACGCCAAACACCCGCCTGCCTCTCGGCCCGCTCCGCTCTCTCTCCGCTAAACGAGAGCCATACAAATGGCAAATGCAATTTCTTACACGTAAGTACAGTTATTTCCATTTTTTACACTCACATTTCGCATTTCAAATTTCACATATTTCCTCACTTTAAACTTTTACAGATTCGCATAAAAATTGTACTTTTGTTGCTTCGCCTGCTGCCGCCTTCATCAGTTCAGCTCAGCTCGGTACAGTGCAGTGCAGTGTCATTGCGGTGCGTGGAAGTCATAAATTTGCATAAAGCATAACTTTGGCATAAAGAACCCGTAGCAAAAAGAAAGTAAATGAAGAATGCAAAGAGAAAAAGAAAAGAATGTTAAAATCACATATGAACGCGTTGGGAAGAATAAAAGGGTAATGTAAAATACATAGTTGGGCAGGAGAAGTCATGTCATGCTGTGCAAGGTGGAGGCAGAGTGCCGGTGGCGGGGGCAGTGGCTGTTGCGTCGACGGCGCCTAACAAAAGCGCTGCAACTTTGTGACAAATCTGTGCAAAAACAACCGAAATTGCCGACGAATAAAAAATGAAATGGCTGAAGAAATTATACGAGAATAAAAGATTTAAAAAGAAAAAATGTACACAGGCATTTGTAAGCAGTTTTGCAGTTTGAGCATAAATTTATGGTTAAGTTTAAGTTAAAGAGTTCTTTTATTCAAGCCAGAAGAGAGATGGAGACTTAAATGTCGCAAAAAAAAGACTGACTCTTAGTGGAAAGGTTGCCACGAGCTGAGCAAGCGAGATTTAAGCGGACGAAATAAAGTAAGCCGCACAAAAAGAGCCGCCATGCAAGATGACTCATTGTGTTTACTTAGAAAATCTCGGTAAATAATAAAGCAAAAGGCAAATAGGGGAACCTCCGATTTACTGCAGCATTTCACAGCTACCAACTGAGTGTCTTCAAAGTTCTAACAGCGATTCCCTGAGAAGTGCTAGACGGTACTACAACCTAATCAATAAGAAGGTAGACCACACAGTCTACGTCAGATATTATAGAATATAACTGCTCATTATCGCATGAAGCTTCCTCTCTTACGTATTGTTTGAGAGATTAAAGTCAATCATGAATGAGCTGCCCGCATCTTATCAGTTTTTGCTTAAAGCTGCAGAAGCCACTTTAGATTTGCTGCTGCACCAAAGTCTCGTCAGAATAGGAAAGGACCTCTCGAGACCATTTGATACCGAGCGAGGTTTGAAAGCAGGGTATTCTTTTGCGCGTGACTTCTTAACTCGATCGCGATAAATTTAATACTTCAGAGCTAAAAAGAGGGAAGACAGTTTCATACCTCCGTAAGAGAATGAAGTCGTTCATTGTACTCGAACTTTTATATGGTGCAGAAGTGGGGATGTAGACAACATCCAGATGATGGAACGATCAGCTAAATAAGGTGTTCAATGAGACTAACATAGTTCACCGAATCAAGACTGACTAAACGCACGGCGGCACTCCTTCACGGAGAAGTCCACAACTGAGAAATGAAGTTTGCCCTGCACTTCGTAGAAAAGATCAAGTGAACCTGAGATCCCATGGTGTCTCCAATTGGCGCCTATGGGTGTATAGAACAAATGCCTGACGTGTTACCTGTTTAGCTTTACTTCAACCAAATACTGGGCGTATGAAAAGTGGTACTAACATCAGCAAAATACGCGACAACTGTCATATGTACGTACTCAGTATGCGACACTCTGTGTCCACTGAGCTGTCAACCTTAGGCAACTCACACACTGAGCTTCGCCACATCGCTATTTTCAACTCAACATGATAGATATTTGGTAAGGTGGGGCCATTTTTCTTGCAGACTCCACTGTAGCTGAGGGTCTTCCCTTCTCTTAAGCCGCTTTTTCGGCAGTCCAAACAAAAAAGAGCAAGTGTCTAACCTGGCCACACTTTAGGCAACCCAAAACAAAATGTGCACAATTTTCCCCACATTTGAAGCCAATTTGTCCAAATCACCCACAATTTATTTACGCAATTCAAGCGCATAACGAGGTAATCGTATATTTCTTATCAGCACCCCCGACCACACCAACACATGTGATGAATGAAAAGGTCAACGCAGCGGTCATACGCCGTAAGGAAATGACCTTCCACAAGCCGACCGACCAAAAACGAAATAAAAAAAAATATGAAAGAAAAATTAGGCCAATATGAAAGCGAACTTTTTTCACTCGAAGCAAAAGGGGGAAACTTTTTGGGTGAAAAAAATCAGAGACACACACTCGCTCAACTCATTTAGGGCCTCGCAATTGTCCAACGAAGTGCGGACATTAATGTGCCTATGAAAATCGCACTGTCAGCTGTCATATTGTTGCATGTTTTGACAGCTAACAAACAAATCGACAAAAAACTACCCGAGCTCGCAGCCAAATGCAGTCATAAAAACGGGTCTAGCTCAAAGGGCGACAAGAGAAAAACACTAAAACTGACAAAAAAAAGTGATGTGCAAGCTTGTACTTCTGCCTGCTTGTGGCCGACTTAGCATGCAAGCAAACAAAGGGACAAGAGAGACGGCGAGAGGAAGGGAGCCAACCGAAAAGCAAATAGACACAACTTGGCTATGAAAGGCGAAAAACAATAAACGCAAAGCTCCAAGCAAATAAAAGCGACAAGCAAACGGACAACAAAGGCAGAGAGATGCGCGGTGCTAGGGGCAGAGACAGAACTCAAACAAAGTACAACATTACAGCAGCAGAAGGAAAAAGACACACCACCAAATAGTGGATGTCGGCAGGCATAAAGCGCAATGACGGCAGGCCTCAACGGTGACAGCGACAGAGAGAAGAAAAATAAAAAGAAAAAAGCGGAAGGAAAGTACGGGTAACAGATAGCAAAGCCAAAAAAACCTTGGCAGTCGCCGCACAAGCGACAACCAGAGACAACGAGCCTGTCAATGCGTGTCGACATGCTAAAAATGGTAATGACTGACAGCCTGCACGGTGAGACCAAGCCAAAGAAGATTGGGGCACACCAAGAACTTAGCGATAGACTGTTGAGACCCGCACTGCTTACGCTATGGCCTTTTAGTTGACTGTGATCGCA